AGACCATCAAAAATTGCAGCTCTTGTATTTTTGTCTTCATTTTCTACATAATTATCTGTTGCACAAAAGTCTATGTAGGAGATAACACAAGTCATCTTGAGTCAAAAACACAAGATTTTTATGAGCAAAGCACATATGAAATTAATAAATATCACAAATCCTGAGCTTTAATTGAAGCATAGTTTTGTAGCAAAAAGAAACCTTCCTGAGACAGTAAGTAAATTCAGCTACAACAGCCTCAGCTTTTCTTATTTGGTGTCATCAAGCTGAAGATTTTCTTCGATGGACACATAATATTCATGTTAACTTATTTGCTAATGAAGAAATTAAGAGACACACATTATATTTGATCATGAGCTCATTTTAATTTCTTAAAAGAGGAAAACAAAATGAATGCAAGGGTCTATGACTTTTGTAGAGGGCATCTAAGCAGATTGTGACATTAACTTTCACAGAAAATGCAAAGCTTCCCTTTGCCTCTAGGCCAGACAATGCAGTTTTAAAATGACATAACATGACCTCATGAATAATTTGAGGTCTAACTTCGTGAACTTCAATTACAAAGTTACATAGAGATCCACAGAAAAAAAGGCATATCTAAATAGTTTACATTTTAGTCATGGATTCAAAAAAATGCCATCTGGAAAATTACAATGAACAGTAGGCATATAATGGGCGGTCAGTCCACATGGATCACCTGTCTGTTTAAGGTATGTGATCACTTCCAATGACCACCAGTTATTCTCTCTCTACAGATTATTTATTTTAAAAAACACAAGACGTAAGACAACAGGAAGTTGTGTTGAGGACTATGTTAGAGTCTGAAATTTTAAGTGGCTTGTTTACCAATGTCTCTGAAAGAGTTTGGATGCGATTAATTTTGTTTCACATTGTCACTTTCTCAAGTATAATTTGTAGAACCAAGGGCATGAACAACAACTTTTGTTTGCTTGCCTACAGATACTTAATCCACCACTCTACCCTTTAAGCATTTTAGGTTGTAGGTCTTTCTTGAAGAAATAAAGTATTGATTTGTTTTTGCGACACAAGTGACTGGCTATGACTGGCTCCTTGTATGTAGCCTGAGCAGTTTGGATTAATTGTTTTCTAACTCCCCATCCCAGTTCTGAAATTCACTCACGTTGTGAAGACATTGTGTACATGTATAGAAAGGGATGTTACTTATGTTGTTTCTTCTGTCATTATCATATGTCCTTTACTCTTTCATATCTTTGAAATTGTAGCATGTAGAGACTGGTAAATCCAGCAGCCCAAGGCATTGACTCGTATAATCAGTGGAAAACAAACATGAAAAGCTCATCTTTGGTTAATATGAGTTAGTGGCTTTCTCCTGGACTTTTATTTTCTTCAGTTGAAATAGAATTTCTCTGTGGATTTTTTAATATTGCTTCAACATTTAAAGACTTCATAATATTTCCTTTTATTTCCTCAAGTGAGAAAAGAATTTAATCCAGACATGAGATTGTGGGTGAAAATTTTTCTCAATACCCTGAAATATTCTCTCTTTAGGCAGTTTCAATCATCTCCAAAGAAAATGCTCAAAAACGCAGTGGGATGTGCCTGCAGGGGCATGGGCGGAGAAGCATACAGTCCCCCTAACCTAGTGAGATGCCTGCAAGAAAGGTAAAGAAATTAAGTTTATCTTACTGGATCCACACGGATTATTTTCCAATTCCTTAGATGGCTATTTTAAATATTTTAAAGGCTTTTCTAAAGAAAAGATCTAATTTCATGCCTTCTAATTATTCAGAAAAAAATTTAAAGTTTATATTTGGCACCTAAGCCTCAATTTAAGGCGAATTTTGAAAGTGTGATATGGAAAACCATTTTATCATGAGCCTATGGGGATGAAATATGGCGATTCCTCTCAAGTTCAAGATAGAAAAATGCCCCCAAAGTCCTCTTAGGAGAAGAGGATGGTGTAGTCTCTGGCCACAAAACCCTCCCTCTCTAGTTTATCTCTTGGCTGGATCCATTGCTCAGAAAGCTTATATAAAAGCTTGCAGACATCACAGAGAAACAGTGTTGGGAAGAGGAAGTTAAGCAGTTTGACTATGCAAAAATATGAATAAATTCAATCTAAATAAGACACCAAGGGAACATAATGGAATGAACTCAGATAGATTGAATTATGTCTGAGGAAGGAGAATATTCAGAAAAACATTCCTATTACAGTTTTTAGGGGGAAATGTTTAAATTTTTTAAAAAACAAAATAATGATCGAAAGCTAATTCAGAGAGTAAGAAAATAATCATGTAGTAAGATGGTAGACTTATTTTCAGAGCACTAGTTTATAAATAGGTATATTTTTAAGAAAAAAGTTTGCAGTCATTTTTATAGGATAAGGTATCAGCAATTATTTGGGGGAAAGAGAAATGGGCAGGAAATGTTTCTCTTGTATCTGAATGCAGACAAGTTGTCTTTCCTGATAGTGTAACTCTAATATTGTAGGAGAATACAGTGTTTTACAAGAACTGATAAAAATAAATTGGTCTTAATCTCAGTCTTATTTCATGTGATATGCTGAATATATTTACTTTTTCAATAAATTTTCTTATTTCAAGATGTTAATATGAAGACATTTGTCTTTAACAAGGCCAATGGCCTATAAGGGAGAATGCACATGTGTTTACTAGCACTATTTATAGTCCTTGAGATGACATAAGATGACATAATAGATATTTAAGAAAAAATTTTGGTCTACATTGACAAAAACAAAAATGAAATGTCTATCAGGCACTTTTCCTAAGAAGAACAAAATGCTCTTTCAATTTTATCTTTCTTCTTCATTTCTTTCTTCCTTTCCTTTTTCCTTCTTTCTTTCTTTTTTTCATAGCTTAAATGTTTATAACTTTCTGTTTAAAGTAATTTGATGGTTTCTCTCTCCTGTAAAAGCTGTTCTCACACTTCTAAACTTATTTTCATTGTACCTTTACAGTTTCAGTGATCAAGTTCCCCTTAAACGCAGTTGATGTGCTTGGCTGAATTCATTCAGGACTTCCCTTGCTTAAAATGGAGGCTTTTCCTTTACACTGAAATCTATTTTAACAGCAGATAACCTTGAAATCAGGTCATTTTAATGACATACTAAACTCATGCTTATACTTAATGTTGAAATAAAGTTAAAATCTTATTATCCTATTGAACATATGCTGTTAGGCATAACATTTAAAGCATACACGATGTTTTGTTGTTTATTTTCCAAGTAATGTTTAGTATGGGGCAGGCGTGTTAACTTGGATTGTGTTTCCATGTTCAGAACACATTCTCCATAAGAGAGTGTTTGAGCATAAAGAGACTTCTTTCTTAGAATGACAACTTCAGAATCTTTTGCTGGATACAGGAAGGATATAGAGTCTAGTTGGCCTAAACATGAACAGATACAAAATATCTCCAATAACTGTCTCCAAATTTCATATTCTGCCCCTACCCAAAGTGAAAAATAAATAATATATCTTAAAAATAAATAATATTGTTGTGAAGTTATATCTTAGTTTTCTGATCTTTTAAGTTTTTGCTACATTCAGCAGTAGATGATAAGTGGTTTCAAACTCCAACAGCTATGTTAAGGTTAATTTTTTCTGTCTTGTAAAGGCATTTGCCAACTACAAAATGTTTTCTATAAAAAGAAAATATATATACTGCATTGGTTTCCTCATAGTATTGTTAAGACCAGCTCATATTTCCAACTAATGTTGAAGATTTGTATTATAGTTGCATGGTAATAATGATGGAATACAAAATGTGTACTCTGCTTTAATGGGAAATGATTTTAATTTTGTTAAAAATATTTAAATCCACTGAATAATAGTTGGGTTTTCTAAGGAGAAATAAAAATTTTAATGTGATATATACTGTTGTTTCAGTTCTTAATAAAGAGTAGAATATACATCTCAAATCTTTGTCTGGTCAGATGAGTAGATTTGTTCCACATCCTAAAACTTACTGTGGTTTTTTTGGTGCCTAAAATAATATTCCTTATTCGTAAAATCCCAAGAAACATTACATAATATTACACAATTATTGTGTTATGCAAAGGAAAAGCAAATATACAAAACAAAAACACCTCATGTAATAAAGACCTTAATGTTATTTGAAACCTCTCCTCCGTTCCCAAACACACGTCACATGGAGGAAAGGAAGGCAGGAGGCACATAAATCTAAAAACAAAAAAAGTAAACATAGTATGGTGGGCTTTTATTTCCAGAAAATCCTCTCTGTATGTGACTTTTTGTACTTCTCTCCCCGTTTGCCCGCTGGAGCATGGGCGCCGCGGCGCCTTCTCTCCCCCAGGCAGCCGGGCTGGAACCGCGCGGGGCGGCGGCCCGCGGGCGCCCGAGCGGACAGCGCCCCTCCGCCGCCGCCTCGCGACGCCCGCCGCCTCGCACCCCAGCCGCGGGGACTCGGCGGCGCAGACCGCGCCGGAGCGGCCGCGGGCGGGGACTCGCGGCGGAGGGCGCGCGGCGGGCGCGGCTGCGGCCGGGCGCGCGGCTCCGGCGCGCACGGAGTTAACGGCGTCGGCGCGGCCATTAGAGGGAAAGTTGCGGCGGCGAGCGCGGCGGAGTCCCCGCGCCTGCCCGCCCTCTCCCGCGGGCTCGCGTGGGCGCGGATCGCGCGCGGCGCCAGGGCGGCAGCAGCCAGCCCGGCGCACCACGGCGCGCCTCGCGGCCCGGAAGCCCGGCCCACCCTGCCCGCCGGCCAGCCCGCGAAGCCCGGCCCGCCCTGCCCGCCGGCCAGCCCGCGAAGCCCAGCTCGCCCTGCTCGCCGGCCAGCCCACGAAGCCCAGCTCGCCCTGCCCGCCGGCCAGCCCGCGAAACCCAGCTCGCCCTGCCCGCCGGCCAGCCCGCGAAACCCAGCTCGCCCTGCCCGCCCTGCCCGCGAAACCCAGCTCGCCCTGCCTGCCGGCCAGCCCGCGAAGCCCGGCCCGCCCTGCCCGCCGGCCAGCCCACGAAGCCCAGCTCGCCCTGCCCGCCGGCCAGCCCGCGAAACCCAGCCCGCCCTGCCCGCCCTGCCCGCGAAGCCCAGCTCGCCCTGGCGCAGGGTCGCGCGTCCCGCCGGCGCGGAGACCAGCCTGCTGACACGTCCGCGCTCTCCTCCTGTAGGGCTTGGTGGCTGTGGGCTACACTGATGTGACCCCCTTCGCAACCATGGGGCTCTTTGTGGCGTGTGCTGGATTTGTTTTCCTTTCCGTGCTCCATGTGCAGCAAGGGCTCTCTTCTCAAGGTAAGGCTGCGCGGCGGCACACGCACGTTTGCTTGCGGGCTGTGTGTGCTCCCTGCGTTCAAAGGACGGACAGGCAGATGTGATAAGGTTGCTAGCGAGTGGCAGTGGGTTCGGATCGCCTGAATGGTGTTCTGTTTGACATTGTTCTTTAAAGTTGATTAAACTGTCAGCAAGCGAGGTTTGGGGAGAAAATCTAGCTGGTGCCTGACAGTGAGGTGGGGTCCTCGGCGAGCACAAACACAGGGTGTGTGTGTGTGTGTGTGTGTGTGTGTGTGTGCACGCTTTCCATCTGTGTGCATGCACAGGGTACCCACTCATGCATACATAATCATCACAAACAAACACAGAGCTGGATCTGGGGGACTTCCCATCGCCAGTCCTCTCTGCTCCTGTAGGCAGACTGGGTTTAGAGTCTCTCTTTTCTGGGTCCCTGTGACTTCATTTGTATGTGTGTTTATGAAAGGGCAGACTCCTCTGAGGACCTATAAAAAGGCAGACGAGCATTACAAGCAGCGGCAGCCTGCTAAAGCCAACTGTTCCGGACTTCGTAGGCTGCAGCGGTCGTTTCAGCACCATGAACAGATCACATCTCAGCTGCCAAAAGACTGCATGGCTTCTGCAAGCAGAAAAGCCACACTCTTCCAGCTTGAACAGAAAGTCCTTTTCAGATAGGAATGCCTTCTTAATAGCTTCGCTTCCCTTTAAGTATAAATACAGTTTCACCTCACTAAAGATCATTTTTGGATTTCATGAAATTTTGAAAAGACACAATGATGATGTCCCTCTTTAAAAAGTGGGGGGGGCAGTTAAAAGTGGGGACCCACCTTAAATAATTCCTGCAGTCCCCACAATCCTCTTTCCTGAAGTATGGATTGTGGCTGTGCACGTCCATCAGCCACAGATTTTTCCAGGACTACTTTTAGGGAGCCATCAGCTCTTTGCAAAGTGCCCCTTAAACAAGATAAGAACAACCATGTTGTTAACAAGATAAGAGCATTCCATGTTCAAGAAATGCCTTTAAGAGGAAGAAAACATTTTATTTTTGTGAGTTTTACTATGGCTTCATGAATCCTGCAAACTAGCAGTGTGAAGGTTGGTAATAAAAATGCTGGGGGAAAAATCTCCATAGTGACTTCAAAATAATCTTTAATCTGAACAAACCTGGATGTGTGATTGTTTCATCTCAAGCTGTATGGCAATTTACCATGCAGTGGCTTGATGGGGACAAATAAAGGTTAATTTGGAGAGAAAGAAATATACACAGCTTGTAAAGAGTGCAACTTGTTTCACTGCTGTAGCTTGTATCACTGCTGTTGCCAACAACTAGTCTGATATATCAGGAATGTGCATTTTGACAGATAATCATGATCCACTCAGTTACATGTAACATCCAGTTAGTCATAGATTGTTTAGAAACTTGGAGGCAAGAGGCTATCCTCATATTCCAACTTGACAGATTGTCTAAATTATACCTCACTGAATTTCTCAGTAAGTTTTGCAGAATACTGCAATCTGACAAAAGGCGTTTAGATCTAACCGGGGGCAGCGTGGCTAACAGAGAGAGTTATTGGCAAGCTTGTTAACCTTTCCATAATCTGATTTAAGCACAAAACCAAAAGTAAGACAGGAAAGAGGCAAAGCAAGGGGGCTCGGGGATCCAGCAAAGTCAGGGATGTCACTGATGGAGGGGTTTGGTTACTGGGGTTTTTGTTAGGTTTTTTTTTTCAGTCCAAGAAAAATTTAGCAAGCTCTCAAGGAAAGAGACTATGGCAAGAGCGGCGTAGGTATTCCAAAGGATGCGTTTCTGTTTTTCAGCAAAATTTACCGAGTTTCCGCGGAACGTGACGGCGACCGAGGGGCAGAATGTGGAGATGTCCTGCGCCTTCCAGAGCGGCTCCGCCTCGGTGTACCTGGAGATCCAGTGGTGGTTCCTGCGGGGGACAGAGGACGCGGAGCCCGGGCCCGCGGCGGCCAGCGCGCAGGTAGCGGGGTGCGAGCCCGCAAAGGCCCGGGAGTCTCCCCTCCAGCCTGACCCTGCGGGTCCCCAGCCAGGGCCTAGGGCTCTGGACGGTGCCTGGGCCTCTGGGGACCCGCCTGGCTCCCCCGGGGTGAGCGACTGCCAGGGGTGCCGGGGGTGTGCTGGAATTTGTCCTGGTGACGCTAAGTTAGGCCCCAAGAGGAAATCGTGATGTCGAGTCTTTTCTGGTTAAAACTGGGAATAACCTACGCCTCTAAGTATTGGTTTTTATTAAGATGTCCCGATGGCACTGCAGTGTGGACATACTCAGGACGCTGGGTGCAGGCAGGTATCCCGTGGGGTCTCCAACCCCGACCCCAGCCCCTTTCCGAGCCAGTTCCTCTGCTCAGCCTTTAACAGAGGGGGAGGGGCAGAAGGAGGGAAGAAGGCAGGAGAGGAGGGAGGGGGAGGAAGGGAAGGGGGTGGAGGAGGGGGAGGAAGGGAAGAGGAGGGAGGAGGAGGAGGGAGGGGATGGGGAGGAAGGAGGAGGGAGGGAGGGAGGGAGGAAGAGGGCGAGTGGAGGGAGAGGTGGGGAGCGAGGAGAGAAGGAACGGGACCAGGCGAAGGAGGGGCGGAGGTGACTAAGGAAGGGATGGCGGTCGTGCGGGAAGAGGGAGGTGGAGGAGGCGGCGGGGAGAGGAAAGGAAACCGGTGGGAAGAGGGGAGAGCGCGGAGCAACGGCGGCGGCACGAGTCTGAGCGAGTGGAGGAAACCGTGCAGATGACAGCCGGGGCGGGACGAAGACGCAACGCTCCCCCGGGAAACTCGCTCCCGTCCCCGCGCTCCCCCACGCCTGTCCCTGTCCCTGTCCCCGGGGACCCGCGTCCCGACCGACGACCGGCGCGCCGGGGCGTCCCCACCGCGCGGGCGCGGAGCGCGCGGGCTGAGCTTGCGTCCTCGTCCCGCAGGTGGAGCTCTTGCCCGACAGGGACCCGGACGGCGACGGGACCAAGATCAGTGTGAGTGTCTCGGCCGGGCGGCAGGGGCCCCGCAGGCCAGGCGCACGTTGCGGCGGACTTGGGATGGAGACCTTTCAGTTTACTGTCCCTGAAAAAGGCAATTTTGCAAACGCAGGGTGAGAGCCAGTGGCCTCTTTCTTACCTCACCAAGTACATAAAACCTGAAGCAAATTTAGAGTCCACAAATAAAGGTGTGGATTTTAATCACGTAAATACCTAAACAATTAACTAGAGAGTCATTGTGCTATCCAAACAAGTTGTGTGACACTTTCTATTTTTGCTCTTTGTAACACTTACGTAACTGTAAGAGTGAAGAGCTGCAATGCTAATGTCTATTGTGGAAATAATCATTATTTAATAGTAAGTAAAACACTAATATAGGAAAATATTCAGCACCCAACAGGATGTTGAATTTGTAATGAAATAAAACAACTCAATTTTGAATGTCATTTATAATGCTTGCTATGTATTTTCAATGCCGCTGTTCAAAATCATATAAATATGAAAACAAAAGCTAATATAAAATATAAAACCATTGTTGGAGGAGGTTGACCTACTGAAAATATAAACTTGTAGTTATACTGCATTGGTTATTACTTTTAATAGTTGTCTATAAAATGAGAAAAAATGAAAATCTTATTTTTTACTATGCCTCAAATGAAGCCATGTAAAATCATCAAATATTAATAAGACTGCTTACTTTGATAAATATAAAACGTTTTCATTACTAGAAATGAAATAGTTATATAATAAAAAGGAAGAAATTGGCTAAACATAAATATATTATTATTATTTGTTTTCAGGAATATAAAAACCCAGTGACTTACATTTTAAAAGGAAATTTATTTTGAGGGCTCTTAATCATAAAATAGTACAAAATTGGCATTATATCATAACTAAAAGTATATCACAACTACAAATACATTGAGTACAGAATCAAATTCTATGATCTAAATGTGTAATCTCAACATGGAAGAAATAGCAAAGAAAATATAAATGGGAAACTCCAATTATAACTCTGACTTTTATGAATATTTCAATTTCAATTGTTCTTGTATCACAAACTTTTGTTTCGATAAAATTAGAAGTTTTATCGATAAAATTAGTGTTTTTCTCACATATTTTATTTTTCACATGCACATATAATTAGAGCGATTGTTAACTACTCATTTTCTACCCTTTACCCATCCCCATATTGTTTAAAGACCAGTAACAACAGCCTTGCCCATCTTGACCTATAAATGCATACAAACAAGTGATCACGCACACGACTGTTAACAGTATTATCTATTATCTATGCCGATAGTTCATAAAATCTGAGTTGAAAAGAGTTCTAGATATCAACTGAGGCAGAAAGAAATTTGTCCTCAGTTTAGCTACTGTGTGACCTTATATGTTCTAAGCCAGTAGTTATTAACTTAGATTTTCCAGACAAGCTTTTATAAAATACTGATATAAGCTCTACCCTCCGGGTGCAGAGTTAATGTTTCTACATTCATCACAGTAACAGTATTTTTTAATATCTCCCTAGATGATTTTTTTTTTTTTTGAGACAGAGTCTCCTTTGATGCCCAGGCTAGAGAGAGTGCCGTGGCATCAGCCTAGCTCACAGCAACCTCAAACTCCTGGGCTCAAGCAATCCTTCTGCCTCAGCCTCCCGAGTAGCTGGGACTATAGGCAGGCACGCAGCACCATGCCCAGCTAATTTTTTCTATATCTATTAGTTGGCCAATTATTTTCTTTCTATTTATAGTAGAGACGGGGTCTCGCTCTTGCTCAGGCTGGTTTCAAACTCCTGACCTCGAGCAATCCACCCTCCTCAGCCTCCCAGAGTGCCAGGATTACAGGCGTGAGCCACTGCGCCCGGCCTCCCTAGATGATTCTAATGTACAATGTTGAGAATCACTGACCCAAACCCCCTAAGCTTCAGTTTACTCAACTATAAAATGGTATAATAATTATAAATAACAATAATAATAACAAATACTCTGACTATCTCAAACTTTATTGGGAGATTTAACCTAGAATATGTGTGGAACTATTGATTTTCATTATTTTATATTATTAGTATATTTATATGTAATTTTGCATATACATAAAAACATACTTATGGCAATGGCTCAAATGTTAGAAATTATTTGTATATATGCCACTATATTTTTTAAAAAGTTGAACACTTCTCAGGTTTTCTTAATTATTTATGGCCATTTGGAAGTACAATGGCCATTAGCAGAATAAATAACTTTCTGCCTCTTTCTCTTCTTTTCTCTATCTTTCAAAATTAGCCAAATCCTTAAATCCTAAATGTCTTATGAAATCTTTTATTCTGCCTGTCATGGATAACATAGGATTATATAACAAATCTGACTATTGTGATAAAGATGCTTATATAAGCATCATTATGTCATATATATTACATATAATATAGAATCTTATATCTAATGTGGTATATTAATCTTCCATAAAATTAATAATAAAATTAGAAAGCCAATTTCAGTTTTGAAAATCAAACCAGTGTTTTCTTTATGGCATCCCAAGTTCCTGTAGAATGAAGTTCCTCTAATGTCTGGAAGTGTATATATCAGTCTGCACCCTGAGCCCTGCCACTCCATGCCTATCAGCTAGACTGCATCAAAAATTTGAGAAGGAAAATATTTAATATCCAACTATTTTAATAGTATCTTTAGTAGCCATCCCAGTGTGGGGTTAAAGGACATCCCCACTCAGACTGTTAGGACAAAATATTTTTGTGGTCTCTCAGAATTGAGGGGATTCATATATAGCCCACAGTGAAGAAAAGATGTTGTGTAACCTGTAGCGTTGGCCTCATTGGGTTCAACTGAGTTAAAACAGACAGAAGGCAACCCCGTGAAGAGAAATGACAGAGCTGCTACTGGAACCTGGGAAACAGGGGCCCTGGCCAATGGAATATGGTTGGCACAGGCTGGACTGAACCAATTATCCCCAGAGTCTGTGAGTCCAGTTGTTAGTGGAATAAGATAACTAAGACCTTCAGATTTGACATTAAGGAAATAAAAAACTCCTTGACTGTGGCTATGTGGCCATTAAGACCCTTTAATTTCCCAGCATTAGCAAGCTCAGGGTAAGGAATGGGAACAAAATCATTTGATGGAGTGCTTTATTTTTTACCTGCAATTTTTCAGACAGTGAAAGTCCAAGGCAATGACATCTCCCACAAGCTTCAGATTTCCAAAGTGAGGAAAAAGGATGAAGGCTTATACGAGTGCAGGGTGACCGATGCCAATTACGGGGAGCTTCAGGAGCACAAGGCCCAGGCCTACCTGAAGGTCAATGCCAACAGCCACGCGCGCAGGATGCAGGCCTTCGAAGCCTCGCCCATGTGGCTGCAAGATGCGAAGCCTCGCAGGAACGCGTCGGCCGCGGTTCCCAGCAGCGCCCGCAGCGCGGCGGCCCAGCGAGCGCACTCCACCGCCAGCCCCGGCGCGGTGGCCGGGACCCCCAAGCAAAGTCCACAATCAGGTATGGAAACCCATTCTGAGCCTTTCACTTTGCCACTCACAACTCTCCATAGAAAGGGCAGATGGAGTGGACAGATTTACATAAGCTGGCTTTAGAATTAGGGCCCCAGTTCGGCACAGATCGCCACAGGGCGTGAGGGCCTGGGGGCCTGCGCAGAGGGCGCGAGCTTGTCGCCTCGGTGCTTCCTATCCAGGGCAACCAAGAGCTGGGATCTTTTCTTTCTTTCTGTATTTACACATTATAAGAACAATAAATCATGTACTGTTGGTTACATTATAAATGCAAGTTCATTTTCTCTACAGATTTATGTATTGATAATGACCCAAATTAAGAGGCTTTCACTTAATCTAAATGTAAATGAAAGAGACATGCCGCAGTGGCCCATAGCTTTGAGCAGGACTGCGCCCCACGAGCTTGTGAGTCTGAGGGGCAGGCTCAGCCGGGGGTGACCAACGGGACCACGCTCGAGTGGGGAGGAAAGGCCGCACGGAGCCTGAGTGGCGCTGCCCCCAGTGGGCCTCCGTGCCAAGTTAGAAGCTTAGTCTCGTGGTTCCTAAGGCAGCTGCGCAAGTTAAAGCTGTTCTGAATAGCATTAATTTATGCAGTCATTCCACCAATGGAAGCTCACTGGAGTTTTTTAGCCTTGGTGTGGGATAAAGGCCTCTTGCAGTGAGCTGCACCCTGCACAAGCCCGCGCTGTCCCAGTTTTCTCAAAAACTTGACATAATATTATAGGACGGAGGGAACACAAAAATATTTAATAGAACCTTAAGTTTTCCCCATTAGAATTTATCATTAAAGAGTCATTCATACTACTGTGGGCAACAGAGAATTATACTGCTAATGTTTAAGATATCTTCAGCCATTAATTAAAAAAATTTGATCCCTTCATCAGGATGATTTCTGAGACCCTCTCATATATATACGTGCATGTGTGTGTGCATGTGTGTAGATATATATCAGAAATTATCCTGACCAAATATATATATATATATTTGATATGTATAACAACAATGAAATATGTATATCTATAAGATATACATATCTTTAACTTGTGAACAATGCTTTTACAATAATATATGCCAATACAGGTTTTCTGCTAATGCTAATTCCTAACGAGTGTGATTTGTAGATTTGCAGGATGCTAGGCTTAGGGTCTCTGTGTGTTTGCACTGCCTTTGGATGCAGATGTGCAGCTATCCCAGCATGCCCTGGTCATACAAATTTATGTCAGTCTGAAGCATAGATGGCTTAGCCTCTCTTTCATCGGCTCCTTTGTTCCCCAAATTAAAATACAAAACCAACATAGCTAGAATATGTACATGTGTGTCACATGCACACAAATGCCCACACACACATATACCTTATTTACAATTTTGTAACCATTCTTTAACAAAGGTTTGATGTCTTTGCAGGCATTGCCCCCTCTTCCTTCACGCTATCAAAAGAAGAATCTAGACACTGCATGTAAAATTACAGAGTAGCCTCAACAGACAATTACCAACCTAATTAGCGAGAACTCTAGATCATAGATGAAATTATTAGCCTACATAGACTATTCCAAGTTAGATATCATAAATCTGTTCTGTGGAATAAAATCAAACAGATTACCTCTTCCAAATGAAGGCTTCTAAGCATTGAAATGTTTTATCTATTTCTGAATTATTTTTATTACTTTTGGGGTTAAATTACACACTCTCAAATATCTCTATTTTATTTTAATATCTCTTAGCACTATGATTGGAGATAAGTGGTAAACTCTAGATATCTTATAAAAATTTACAAATAAAAATGACTGCTCATTTTCCATCTCATCACCAGCCTTGCTCTTAGATACAAAATTAGTTTTGCTAGATAGAGTTAAAGGGGAAAGGAGACAAGAAATGCTGACTCATGAAAGCCAATATTCACTAAAAGCCCTTTTCACTAGAATTATCTGCATGTAGCACAGATTAATCTGAAATATCTTAAAATATTTAATTTCTGTCTTTTCTACCAGTGAATTCTGGAAAATACTTTATATACTTTTACAGACATTTTCTAACTTCTATTTCAGAGGCTGGGGCAGCCTAGCCACCCATTCTATTTACCAGTAAGTTCCTATACTTGCACAATGATTGGATGTAATACAATCTCTGGGGTGGCTATTTATATATTATATTTACTGTATTAACCTACATTCTGATAATTTTGCTTTACAATTTTCAGATCATATTCAAGTAAAGCTTATTTCAATACCCATGTTTCATCTATTCATTTATTAATTCACCTTCCATCCCTTCGCAGAACCCATATGCCAGGCACAGGAACACAAAATGGGAGGAACACTTCCTCCCCTCTCCTTTTAGTTTGTGAGAAAAAAATATTTATAAATTCCATTTATCATGTATCTTTCTTTTGTCATTCTTAAAGGCAACACATGGTGAAGGCACAAAAATTAAAATCTTGCTTTTACAGAGCCAGTGCTCTGTTATACCAGCCTTTTGTCATGTATCATTTGATGCTAAGAGGCATGCTTTATCTATGGTATATATGACACCACAATATCAACCCTGTCCCCAAAGCTGGTCTGTTTGTGCTTTTATTTTCATCATAATCTTTGACTTAGTTGACTAAATTTATTTAGTCTGAAACACTCAACTCTTAATTTGTACTATTTTTCTGTCAAAGAATTTCTGTCTCTCTGAAGGAAAAACATTAGTTGAAAATAACTTTATATAAAATCTTCAAATTATCAATTAACTTAGCCAGTTTTCCTAAAGCAAAAATTTACATGAAAAAATAAGATAGAAGAGATAGTCTATTACCATCTATATATCACAAGATAAAGTAGAGTTTATTATTTATCATGGGTAGTCCCATATTTTTTTACCAGTTATTTTTCCAAAAGTAGTTACCACCCAACCAGGTTCATTTGCCCACTGCCCAAGAAACCAATATGCTGAGTCAGCAGGTTTTAGAAGGCAGAAAAAGAGTCTTTGTTTCACATAGCATTGAGTGGGGAGGTGGGAGAAATTTCTCAAACCTGCCTCCCCAGGAATTTAGGAGACAGAGTTTTTAAGGATAGTTTGGTAGGCAAGAGATTAGGCAATTAGGTTTGTTAATTAGGGAAAAATTATAGGAGTATAGGAATCATCTTCTTGTGTTATTTAACTCCCTGGGCTCACAACTCCAGCTGAGTCAGTTTCTTGGTGTGGGCTGCTGGTCTGAGTGGGCCACCCAGCCCACTGGAATGTGGGCCTGGAAGATATCTTAAAAGCTACCTGTAGGCTTCTAAAAGGTGATGCTGTCTATGGAGAAAGTTAAGAGTCTTTATGGATACAGCTATGGGGAGAAGTTCAGAGTCTTTATGACCACCAGGTGCGAGGTTCCAGCATGGCAATTACAGGGGACACTTACTAATTAGTATCGTTATTTTCGGCTAGGCCCTGACCACAGTTCTCACCTTGCACCCCGTCATTGAGGGGCAGTTTCAAAGTTAGTGAGTGTGTGACTGTCCCCTCTGCTTAAAATACATTAAAATTTTTAACATTAAAATTATTTTAATTCTACCTCCACTTTGTAATCAACAGTTAAAAGTAAAATAATAAAGAAAAATGCTTAATCACACAGATTAAAGTTGGCTTTTGCAACACCTCCAGAGAGTCTCCACCTCTGTGAACCCCTCCAGTTCCGGGTGCCTGTCTGGCGTCGCTCATGTGCCCACCCGCCCCAATCGCAGGAGGCTGAGACAGAGAAAATGCCATAGATACGATGCATGAGGAAGGCAGTACCTGGAATTAAAAGTTGAAGAAGTGTGCGGTGGATGTTCTGCAGAGGGGGGATCCTGAGTCTAGCTGGGTGGTGGCCAGGGAGGGCAGGAGTGACAGGGAGGGCTGCAGGCAGAGGCGGCTCACAGAGCGTGCTTTCAGAGGGGACGATGGCACTGGTGTGAGAAGTCATGCGGTCTCCACAGGAGGAGGCCGTGTGGCTTCCCCTTCCCAGAGAGCACTGATGTCCGCGGCAGCCCGTGTCCCAGCATGCCAAGCTTGCCTCGCCTGGCATCGCCAGTCCTTCCAGAAGCCAAACAGCACCCCACGGAGCAGCTCTGCTGGCCCTTCCTTTGTTCCCGGTCTTCATTCTCCTCTGCCGTTCCCCCTCCCCATGCTCACAGACGGACGGGCAGACAGGCTGCGGACAGCACTGCTGTCCCTCCGAGGGGCTCCTCTCTGGAGGTCGCCTGCCTGCTGGCACTGCTGCCCAGAGGGCCCTGTGTGCGGGCTCCTCCTGCCCTGCCGTGTCTCTCTCTCCAGTCTCTTATCAGTCCCACCCAAGTGCTCTCTTGCAGGCCGTGGCTGCCTCCTCTCCCTGCCCCCACAGCCCCCCCGTTTCCTCCTCCCAGCGCCTGGGCAGCTTTGCCCTCTACCGCCCTTCCTGGACAGGCGTCCCTTTCTTCTAGCAGGCTGGGTCCCTGCTCACTGGCTCTGAGTACTCCCCTCTCTCTTTTGTTGGCTTCCCATCTAAATTTATCTCTCAAAGGTAGTTCTTTTCCCCTTCCTCACTCCCTGGTCTTCCCATCCATTTCCATGGTTTTCAATGCTAACTTTTCCTTAGAAAAATTTCCCATTCACCTTTCTATTTCTGACTTCTTTCTGTAGATCCAGACTAGAGTTCACTGTTGTCCCCAAAACATCTCCACATATAGGTCCTACGAGAACTGTGAAGGATTAAGGGTGGCTGCACACTTTTCCACACTCCGCCCAGTAAGAGCCTATGTCCCTTCCCCTGGAGCCAGGGCTGGCCTGTGAGCACTTTGACCAATAACGTATGAAGAATTTGATGCTGTGTCAATTCCAGACATAGCCCTTAAAGTGGGCCTCTGCCCTGCCCTCATGAAAGCCAGCTACTCTACAAGATATACAGCGACCTTCAGACCACCTTATTGAGGGAAGCCCCAGCCAAGGCCCTGGATGGGAGTAAGGAAGCTGCCTTGGCCCCCAGCCCACTCGGTCCGCCTCTCA